AGTTTGATGAAACCGCGTTCGGATCCTCCATTCCGTACCTGACGCACGTCGTTCCCCTGATTGCTGTCGTCCCTCGGGTCGACGGCGACCTCCACCGCCGCCGCCGCCGCCACCGGGGTGTCGAGCGGCGTCGAGAGCCGACGGTTGGGCGGCGATCGTGCGTAGCGGAACACCACGACGGTCAGGAACACGGTGAATGCCGCCAGGAGGAGGAACTTGATCAGGCTGATCACGTTTCGCCTCATCTTCGGGAGAGAAGCATGCCTCGCTGGGCCTCGCGCCGGCCTCCCTCACGAGGAGGACCTAACCTCACCTATCGCCTCGTCGCGCGTACGTGGCAGACGAAGGCGGACCTCGCGAAGGCGCGACGACGCGTCGTTTGTCATCACCGCTGCGCACCGGCGGCCAGGAAGTCGCGCGGCGAGATAGCCGTCCGTCGTCGACTCTCGCCTCGACTCGGCGCTTCGACGAACGACGCGACGGACAGACAGACAGACGGACGGACACCGCTTCCCCGTCGCGACCGCCGCGCGATAACTGACTACTCGATCAGGATATATCGAGGGGTGGGAGATCACCTTCGTGAGCGAGAAACCTCGCCGGGGAAACTCGTTTTCTATCGGTTCCGCCCGCGCGATCTCGCCTGTCTCCTGTCCTCCTCTTCTTACGTTTCCGCGCGAACTTAACGGGTCCGATCGATTAGACATCGATCGAGATGTCCTTCCCGATACACTTCCTTAATAATTGAATGAGGATGAAAATATACAAGATTTTGAGGAAATTATTTATATATGGATTACTTTGTTTAAAGCTGACGCCATGAATATGCGCGATTCCCTATGTGTGCTGTTTGTGGTTTGAAATTTACGATTCATATGAGATTTTTAAATAATATAAATATGCGGACTTGTCATCAAAATTGCTATTTGTTTTATTTACTATTTATCATGTATAATTCCAGCGAAATTATTTTTTATCAAAATCAAAAGACGCAAATGAACCGCGCGTAGTCTGGCGTCTGGCGAATTTGATTCATTTTTATCAATGTTTTTTTATCAATGCAAATTTTAATCTTAGTTTAACTTACTTTTTACCTTTTTTAGTTCTAAGAATTAAAAAAAATAAAGAATAAATTAAATTATGATTAACTTTAATAGACATTGGTAGAAATGGACACAAGAGATGAAGCGTCGATTAACTTAATCTGCGATTCATTCAACTAAAAGAATACTAGCAGAATTTTCCTTACAGCAAAATTTATAATTATATAATTCATTATCTCTAATTTTTTAATCTTTCTGTGTATCAAAAAACAAAAATTAATTCCACATTAACAAAATAAAAAAAATACTACTTGCTTAATAAATTAATTTCCTAAAATAATCAGAATTTAATCCAAGTGTCACTCTTACATTAATTTCTATTAATGTAGATTAATCATAGTTTAATTTATTTCTTGTTTTAATTTTAAAAATTAGAAAAAGATAAAGAGTAAATTAAATTGATTTTTGCAAAAGTGGATTTAATAGCTTAGTTCGATTTTCCATCTTCTTGGACATGTTATTGGATATTTATTTTAAATTGAGATAAAAAAATTATTAATCGACAAATTTATTGAGTTTTTAAACTTCTGATTTTCTAAAAAAAGATTATCGTCTTCAGTGAAATAATGGTACAATGGAAATAAAACTGTGCGAAAAAAACGCACAGTTGTTACTTTCATATCTTTTAGAAACAGATGTTACGAATAATATGATAATGGCAAGTTACATGCATCTAATAAAAACAGGTCGCATGATGTAATCGTACAGGTGAAATCGAGGTTGGAAAACTAATACTAAAATTAATTCGAATAAAAGCATTAACAGAGATACTTTAAGACTTAATAGAAAATGCAGCAGCATAATTTCATAAATTATCGAAATAGAATATCTAGATTAAGTTAACAGAGAGATTATCATAGCTGGATAATTTGTATTAAAGTTTTACTCCGTAAAATTCAAATTCTAGGAAAGACTTCAAACCGATGTGACAAATTTAATTCCATTTTTTTTTTTCTTATTTGAAATATTATTTTCCAATATTATAATCAACTTGGATCAAAATCCGATCAATATATAGTACAGCTAGAAATTTCGTTGCAAGCATATTTCACAATTGTTGAATTAATCGTTTAGTCGAAATTACCTTAATCTTTTATCGCTTTTGTCGCATTTATAGCTGCTCAGACTGCGGGAACAATCTTCATTCTTTCGACGATATCTACGAGCAGTATAGAGGAAGTGGCGGAAGCCGCACCGGAGGGTATAAAGTGGTTCCAGCTCTATGTTTATACCGACAGAAATGTCACTTTAAATTTGATAAAACGTGCCGAACGTGCTGGTTTCAAGGCACTTGTTCTCACCATCGATGCACCGTTTTTCGGCGATCGACGCGCCGATTTGAGAAATAATTTCTCGTTACCCAATCACTTGAGGTATCCATCCAGAGATGTTTAATGTAGAAAGAAAATTAAATATATATATATATATATATATAAATATATCGAAAAATACATATCATAGACAAATTAGTGAGATACAAAAATTAATGAATTGTCATTAATTTTAAGGAATACAAATAATGGCAGCATTTGTGAGTTTTGTATAAAACTCTAAAAAGAATGTATTTTCCGTTTCTTACTCCTCAAAATTATTCTGTCAAACAGAAACTCAAGAAAAAAGATTATTTTTCAATATATATAAACATAAAAAATAATTAAATTTCGAAAGTCGGGCGAAAGACAAAAATAGTCAGTTTCTATTATATTGTTCAAAAGATTCAACATTTTTGATTATTAATTTTACATTTTCATATATAAAACACAACACAGACGTTGGTGGATTTTTTTTTATCTTTTGGTCAAGAAAAAAGTATCCTGTATGTCCTACGAATCTGCAAAAAAATAATTATAAATAGACATTTTATTATATAGGGGAGAGCACATTTATCAGAGGCGGATATACAATATTATAGAATTCTTATTAACGGAAGATATGTTATTTTTAACATATTTTAATTTTAACTAATTTTAATTTTAACAAAAATTTTAACAAAGATTTTTGTTAAAATTTTAATATCTTTCATCAATAAAGAATTCTATAATATATCTATTTGACAAATTTAGTCTTTCTTTGATATAATAAAAATGTCTACTTATAATAATTATTATTATATATGCACAATAAACAATATACTCTTTGTTTTAGGTTTGCAAATTTTCAGGGTGATTTATCGCACCGAATAAATTCCGCGAAGACTGGGTCTGGCCTTAATGAATATGTTACTGCACTATTTGATACATCTCTCACCTGGGATGATGTAAAGTGGCTTAAAAGGTATCTATTGATATCGCTTGTAAACTTTTCTTATCTTGGAACATTATCATACCTCGTACATGAGCAAATCAAATAAGTATTTGGCTCAAATTATTGTAGAACTACAACACTACCGATAATTCTTAAAGGAATATTGACAGTGGAGGATGCATGTTTAGCCGTGGAAAATGGGGCTGATGGAATTATAGTTTCAAATCATGGTGCACGTCAAATAGACAGTGTTCCAGCAACGGTTGGTTCATCACTTCTTCAAAAAGATTTTATATATTGAAGAATATTAAAAAATTATCTGAAAAAAAAAATATATATGATACATGAGTTATTGAATTAATTATATTCATATAGATCGAAGTTTTGCCTGAAATAAGCAAAGCTGTAGGAGATAAAATAGAAGTCTATATGGATGGCGGGGTGAGGCAAGGTATCGACGTATTCAAAGCGTTGGCATTGGGTGCAAAAATGGTATGATTTTTTATTAAATGGATATATATGACAAAAATATTTGAACAATTTTGTTCAATATATAATTGTATCGTTCGAATAATTCTTTATTATATAAGCTTTTTACTTACACATTTTTGTGTTCAGATTTAATTGATTACACTTATTTCAGGTATTCTTTGGTAGACCAATGCTATGGGGCTTAACACACAGTGGTGAAAAAGGTGCTAGTGAGATTCTTGAACTCATGAGAAGAGAAATTGATTTAGCATTTGCATTAACTGGTAAATTAAAATATAATTTTTAACGTCAACATGTATCTAAATTAATGCAAATATTTTTAAAACAAACATTTTTTTTAGGTTGTGCATCTATGAAAGATATTACACGAGATATGGTGATTCATGCATCTTACTACAGTCATTTATAAAAATAAATTAATTTCATATTAATCATGTATGTGTTGGTACATTAATAAAAATCTTTTGTCTTATTAAAGCTTTTATGTTACTAAAGAATCTATCATACATTAAGATTGTACTATACAGGATTAATAATCACTTATCTATTTACATATTTTTATTGGGGAATTATACATACACTTACATGCCGTGTTTTCTTCTAATTTTCTATTTAGTTTTTAATATTATGCTCATCATTTAGATGAAAGATTTCTATAATTTTATTTTGTAATATTATGTTACAAGAACCATATTTGTACTGAATTTGCATGAATAAATCATTACTTGATCAAATGGATTTGAATTCATTACATTTTTTTTGTTTCGACGAATAATGATCTAGATCTTTCTCTGCTTCTTCTTTGAATTTTATTTTATAAAAGAAAGAAAAACAAAAATGAATTTTCATGAAAAAAGTTTTAGATATTTCTATCATATATTAAAGTGTAAAATAATATGAGATAAATATCAAATAAAATAATAGAACAAAATTAAGGAACATCAGTAAGTTTATTATCAATAAATCATAATAGATGATGTAATTGATATTAAAATAACAATTCTATTATGCACTGTCATCTGTATTTTTCAAATCATAAATTAATTTTAATAACTCAGCACGTTTTTTTGGTACTATTTCTGTAATAATACTGCAATCACAATTGCACATCTTGGGATCTCTTATAACATGCCGAGATATTACTTCTGCTAAACATAAGACATATAAACCACAGTCGTAGTTATTATTTTGCTGCGGACAATCCATTTCAAAATATCTTATTTCTTGTTTGTTAAGAAAATATTTTATCAATTTCCGTGCAAGTTTTTTCGCAGAAAAGCTGTTAATATTGTTTGACGAATCAAAGTGATAACACATCATTTCCTTAGAAGAGTACACCAATAAGCTCCAATGCGAACCACCTGCCTCATTGCTATCACAGTCATTTAGAGGGAAAAATATAAAATCATAACTTCTAGCCTCAATAGGATCGAGAAATATATCATACTGCGAAAAGTTTTGCATCTTTAATAGTTGAGCCACTTCAGGTCCAATAAATAATAACCGGCTTTTACCATTCTTCTTATATTGTTGATTCAAATATTCAAAATAAAATCCTATTATAATGTCATTAAGCCAGTCGTTTCTTTTGAGTAATATAGTATCTGATGTTCTAAGTAGATAGTCATGATAGCTCAATACAATATCATTCTTTTCAGGTTTTATTGGATGATTATCACGGGATTCAAAATGCTTCGAATTCATAGGTAATACTGGCATGGTACTAAAATCAGAAACAATATAAAATCCAAGGTGGACTTTTATTAAAAAAAAAAGAATATATACCCAGTAACCTAAATGTTAATGATGATGATAATTTATCAATGGATAAAAAAAATATTGTACCACATTGACATTAATTGTATCTGCAGTAAGCCAGCAAAACCAGTCAACAGAGATCAAATGGTATCTATTTTGTAATCAATTAAATAAGATGCATCATTTGAATAGTTACGAAATAATAGATTTTCTTCGATTTTGATAATTAAATTTTTTATCAAATTTTATCAACAAATTTTATTTTTGACATTCCGCTGACAGAAGAAATTTAGAGCAAGTACTAATTTAACTTTTCAAGTTTGGTTACTGGGTATATATATATATATATATATATATATGAGAAAAATGGTAAAGATGAATAAAATTACAGTAACAAGTGCCCTTTTCTTCTTCCGTTATAGACGCCTTTCGTTTGGAACGAGCTGTACTATGTTCTTTCTTTCACGTTTTTTTTTTTCTAGAAAGATTTTTCTGTTCTGATTATTTATATTTTCTTCTATGATAGAGATAATACGTGTTCAGAAGTAACATGACGGCGTTATTAGAAATCTAATGTTCTGACGTCATAGCATTTTGTCGTGACTAAGGAGTCGCTTATGGATATATTCCGAATGGTGATAGTTTAGCTTATTTTTTTTCTAGATATTGGCTGCCATGTAATTAAACCGAGAAGTGTTGAAGATATGATGGATCCGAACCTACTATATCAAAAATGTTTTATTTGGAAATTCAAGACAATTAACTATTTATTACAGTCTGTTGTCGTTTATATCTATTTGAATAAATATATAATTCAAAATGCATATATTACGAATTTTATATTTATACAGATAAATATAAAGATGCATACGAGTAAAGGCCATATCAGACTAGCGGTTGCCCGGCTGCGGTTGCCAGTAATGATTCTACTATTACCAATCACATTGACCATAACCAGGACCTGCTACATTATAATTGGCTGAAATAAAATCGTCAACCGGCAACGTAACCTTAAAAAGGCGTGACACAAAAGGCTGTGTTCGTAAATTCACTATCAGTATTGAAAATCTATAGAATACGTTACGTAAACTATATGTTTTCAATACTGGCAGTGAATTTACGAACACAGCCATATTAACCAATAAGTGGCTAGACGTGTCTACAGTCAAAAAAGTTATATTACATATTTCATAAAATTTGCTAAAATGGTTGGTTGTTGTGCGCTAAACTGCAACAATTCTTCAAAAAAAGGATATATTATGAAAGTTTTCCCCCGTGATACTGAACAAAGAGCAAAATGGGTAGCAAATGTAGGACGACAGTATTGGAAACCAACAAATGCTTCATGTCTTTGCGAGGTTTTTTGTGGAATATTGTATTATTTAATCTTTTAAATAAAATAATACAATCTTTTTTATTTATTATTTTATATAGGTTCATTTTGAGCCAACAATGTGGGAAAAAAGAAAGGATGACCTTAAAAAACTAAAATGTGATGCAGTGCCAACAATTTTTGGATCTTACTTAAAAAAACAGGATAATGAAAAGAATAAAAGGTATAGAAAACAGATATAATAATAAATTAATAATATAATAATAAAACAGATATAATAATAAATTAATTTATTAAACTATAAATTAATAAATTAATTTATAGTTTAATTTAAGTTAATTTAGTTTTATTTTTCTCCAAAGCAATATAAGTGACTTAAATCAAGAATCTAGGACTGATTATATACAAATTAATAATTTACAACCTGATTCTGAGATAATTAAGAAATTAGAAATTAATTCTGGCTGTGATAGCATTAATATAGCTGTCATAGAAAGAAACACTGATCAGTCATTTGAAATGCAATCAATTACCGTAAGTGTAATTTTATGATATATAATTTTATGTCATTCCTAAAAGTAAAATTTTTCATATGCATCATATACTTATTTTTATCAGGAAAATATCCCATCGACAAGTTATAGCCAGCAAAAATCAATAGAAAAGGATGAAACTACAGTATTACAAAAATGTGAAAAAATTTTATTGAACAAACAAGCAGCAGAAATCATGATGTTAAGAAAGAAATTGGAAAAGATAAAAGATGCTCTTAGAAAAGTAAAAAAAAGAAGTGACAAAAATTTATATAAAATTCAATTAAAACGAATCTTTACAGATGATCAAATTCATGCTTTACTAACAAATTCTAAGAGAGGTCGACAATGGTCTAACGATACAATTATAAAAGCATTACGACTAAAATTTGCTTGTGGTGAACGTGGTTATAAAGAACTAATAAAACAAAATATGCCTTTACCAAATATTCGAACGCTTCAAATGAAATTACAAGGAGTTTAGAGTTTTCAAGTAAAATAATCAGACAATATCTTCAAAATTTTTCTAAAGAGATTTGTATATATATATATTTTTACAACAAAAAACGCTTGTATATAAACATTTGATAAATGTATGTCCTTATTTATACATATAAAAGTGTTTCATTTTTATAATAAAATTCAAAGTGATCTCTTTATCCATTTTGTATAGTTATCTCTGAGTTGTATGATGTGGATAAGAATATCAAAAATCAAGAGAGAATGGATAATAATATATTGAAACGGAAATACAGGAGAACCAATTTACGATATCTCGAACGTAAAATTCTGTTGCCATTAAGATTAAAAATTAAATATTAATGAATAATGAAATGGTTTTTATTATTAATTTTGATCAAACTTTTTGATAATAACGATAAAGATGAAAATTTAAATGTTATAAATTACATAACATCATATATAAAGTTTTAAATATTTGCAATGGAAAAAAAATTTATCAACTTTAAACTAAACATACAAAAAATTCAGAAAATTTAAAAAGAACAGGTCTGTAAGTACAAATGATAAATTCAAGTTTTAACGCGTAGGTTTCTCTCTAATAGCGAATTCCATTCACTACACTTCAAATTTTTGAAGATTAAGATATCGCAGTTTCGCAAAATGCAAGCATGTTCTCTTATGGACGAAATGCGGATTACATCAGGAAGAATATTTGACACAGCCACACATTCTTATTTAGGAAGGGTTACAGTGCCTAGTCATACAGATGCAATGCATGATTTACTATTTATGCTGGGCGATTTAATGTTGAAATGGAGCCAAATTGTTGGTTATTATTTTACGGGAAATAGTTTTGATAGAGTTGTTTTAAAACTAATTATTTTTCAGATTCTGCATAAAGCAAAATCAATCAATTTAACTGTAAATAATATTAGATCTGACATGGGATTGAATAATATGGCATTGTAGCGGAAAATTGGGATAACAGCAAGATGGTATTCATAAATAGTAAATAAAATTCATGTGATCCTGATAAACAATTGTATCTTTTAGCTGATGCAGCATATTTTCTAAAAAATATAAAGACGTGCACATTAAATAATAAATTTCTTACAATTCCTTTTACATTGCAGGAAAAATATAAGTTGCTCACAAATATAGTATATGCTAATCATCTTAAAGAATTACTTAATGAGCAAAAAAATTTAGAATGTTTGTTAACGCCAAGATTAAATAAATCTGACTATAGACTCTAAAAATGCTGTAAATATAGCAAAAAATGTTTTAAGTACGTTAGTAGCCTTAGAATTTTTAGCAGATGAGAATAATGAATCCTCATTATTTGACAATAGCATGGTTCATAAATACAATAAGTACATGATTTAAATTAATGACTTCGAGATACATCTCTGTAGCTCTAGGGAAATTACATATAGAAAAATTCAATGAAAGTATCTCTTATATGATTTTATTGATCTTTTAAAAAATTTAAAGGTTGGTAATAAAGGACAATTCAAACCTGTACAAAAAGGAATGATTATAAAACTTGCTAATTATTTATTTAGAAGAGAAAAAAACTTAAATTTGTTTTTACTGGTCGTATGATTCATGATTGTATAGAAAATCTCTTTTCTGTAATCAGATCCAAGAATCCTGTTTCTAACGCGTTATCAAATAATAAAAATAATTTAAAACTGATATTTATTTCTTTATATACAAGATATGTATTACTAAGCAACTATGAAGAGAATGATAGAGATTATATAACGGGCTTTCTAGATACTCTTACTTCGAGAAAGGAAACAAAAATGCCAGAAATTAAATATAAATATTGATGCTATACAAATAAACTTAAAAGAAATTCCTATCTTTAACAATGTTGAAATGAATATATTATATCACCTGGTAGCAGTCTTTAATGTGCACTTACCTGGTGTAGTGTAGTGAATGGAATTCGCTATTAGAGAGAAACTCACGCGTTAAAACTTGAATTTATTACTTGTACTTACAGACCTGTTCTTTTTAACTGAATTTTTTGCATGTTTAGTTTAAAGTTGATAAATTTTTTTCCATTGCAAATATTTAAAACTTTATATATGATGTTATGTAATTTATAACATTTAAATTCTCATCTTTATCGTTATTATCAAAAAGTTTGATCAAAAAGTATTTTTTGATCAAAATTAATAATAAAAACCATTTCATTATTCATTAATATTTAGTTTTTAACCTTAATGGCAACAGAATTTTACGTTCGAGATATCGATAAATTGGTTCTCCTGTATTTCCATTTCAATATATTATTATCCATTTCCTCTTGATTTTTTATATTCTTATCCACATCATACAACTCAGAGGCAACTATACAAAATGGATAAAGAGATCACTTTGAATCTTATTATAAAAATGAAACACTTTTATATGTATAAATAAGGACATACATTTATCAAATGTTTATATACAAGCGTTTTTGTTGTAAAAATATATATATACAAATCTCTTTAGAAAAATTTTGTTTTACAACAATTATTTATACATCACAGTTTTCTCATTCCTAAATCAATAATTTCTCAGTACATATAATATATAAATTATACATAAATTAATTATATATAAAGGCATACCTGAGTCAAAATAATACTATGAGCAATAAATGAGTAAGAAAGGCGTAGGATATATCTTATAATTCTTTTATAAAAAAAAAAGGTTAAAGATGTGGATAGTCAAAAGATGATGGTAGACGAAGCGTATTAAGAAACGCCATATCTTGTGGATAATATGTCGCTAGTACTTCGTTTGGTACATAATGAGACCACGCATATTTACAAAAATATTGACCAATTTTATTATGTCGGATAAATTTTGGTAAAGCTGCCTCTATTACAGAATCTAAAACAAAAAAATTGTATATTGCACATTAACAACATCATATATGTATGTAAGATGCATCTAGCAATCTGCTTGTACCTTCGGCAGCGTAGTACTTATCGCCATTTTCACACAGAATAGTGTAAAATGGTTGTGATAAAGTAATGGCTTCAGGAATCCTTTGATTATGTAAAATTCTAAATCTAGATTCTCTAGCCATGCATGTATTATAACTTTTACTCCAACCAATTATTACTCCAGTATGATTCATATCATCTCTATCATTCCAAGTCATGATCATCCCAACTGCATATTTCATTTTACACGGCCTTTCTTGTGGTGTTATAACATTTGTAGGTGCTAACTCTGGCTGAAAAATATAATCCCTAATAGAAATATATTTTTCGTATGTGTTTAATATATTTTCAAAATGTTTAAAATTTTTTTTCATATTCAGATTACATTTACCAATTACATATTAGCAATTAATATATTGCATTATATACAATGAATATTAATTATTAGATACTATAATTAAATTATTATTCATTTATAAGCATTAAAAAATTTTTTAGACATTAACTTGATGCGTAATATACTTTCAATAATAAATTATAATTACCTCAATAAGCCTTGCCATTCGTCCGAACCGATTTAAGATGGAGGCAATTTGCCGTCCTTCTATAGAGTCATCGTTGCAGCACTCCTGCATATATAAAGAATGGGGAAAAATTATTTTTTTGCAACATTTTTTAAAACATTTTTTACAACAATTATTTCAATTATTAGCAGATAAATATATGAAAAGCAATGTAGTAAGTTCACCTACAATATATGTTTATATAGGGAACTAAAAGAAGTTTCTAATTTGCTTGCTATTGATTTTTTTATATTGAATAACAGATTTTTATTATAGTGTGATAAAAGAAATGTTTCAAAAAATGAAAAAAATTTGAAAATGAGAATCTTTGAATTTGTGCATATTTATCTATATATGTAAATTAATTTACATACCAGTATCCTTTCTAATGGAATTCTGATATTTGATAATCTTATGTGATTCTGCACATAATGGAGACCTAATTGCTGAATAGTATCTCTATCGAACGGATTCAACATATATCGGAATTCCAATAGTGAACGCAATTGTAGAGATCGATCATAATGATGTTGATAATTAGGATTAACCATTTGCAAATAGTTAATCATTCGTAATGCCATCTTAAAACAAAGATTGCATATATAAAATAAAATTATAACAGATTACTTTGTTCAATCACACATAAAAAACACATTTTATTGAATTATCTCTGTTCCTAATTGATTATTCACAATATTTTTGCCAATTATTTTTATAAATTCAACAAAGTTTCATAAAAGCAATTAATTTATTAAAAAATATTAACCTGTGAAGGATTCATCTCAAAATGCTTATTGAAATTTTCTATAGGACATCTTCTACCACGAGTTCTAGGACAATCATTCTTGCTTCGAATAGCTCCACCTTGTAAAATATCAATATAGAGATATTCTTCATCTTCAGAATTTTCTGTATTACTATAAACAATAAAAAGTTATGTAGTACAAATGCATGCATATATGCAAGTGCATCCAGGCACAGATGCTCGTGTATAATAAAAGTATAAAAGAGAAAAGTTTGAAGAAATGAGATGCATGCAAACTAAAATTATGCTTACGGCTTCCAACTTAAAAAATGATGAGTAGGAACGAATATTAGATTGCAGCGTACGCCAAGCCTTCTCGCCACACTGTGGAATATTACTGCCAAAGTTATAGAGTTACCAATTTTGTTTTTTAAAACCTATATATTATAAATTACAATAAAAAGATTTCAATATTGTAATAAATGTAAAAATACACTTGTAAATATGATCATAATACTTAATAACTTACGCCGTCTATGATAATTTCTTCTAGTTCATAAACCTTGTTTTCTTCATTGCTCATAAGCTCATCAGTTCCACAGAAGCCTAATTTAACAAATAAAACTGCTCGAACTGCATCTATAATCTGCTGTTCTATCTGCCTGCTCCATTGATTGTTATCGATGTTGTTGCATTTCCAAAAAGAAAATTGCTTAGCCGACGTCGAAAATATTGGATGTGTAGGGTGTGCTTTTTTAAGGTCCTCCAATACCTGTTTTGCGATATTGTCCAGTTCAGCCTCCACATCTAAATAATAGATATGTTTCAGAGGCTGATACCATTGTGTTACAATGGTAGCTGCTCGTTCTAAAATTTGTTGTTCTTTGGGACTATTGATAAACTCTTTCCATGCTTCCTTTAGATAACACTTATGCACATATGAAAGAAGTTTCTTGCCATAATATTGATGCGTCAAGTTACAATCATTGGAACTAAAAAAATATATGCATATTAGCTGTGCAATGAAGTCATACATTTGTCTGCGATATCAATAGTTTTAACAAATCTTACTATGGTGACAACGTAGTCAAATATATTAACTCAGCCATGAAAAAATGGTAACTCATAGAATGCGCACCCATATTTGGGCGAAATAAACAATCAAAATCTTCCATATCAATATCGCATAATTCGTCTTTTTGAAAATGTTTTTTGGCCATCAACGATAGATAATGCTCCAATTTATATTTACATTCTATGCTGACTTTTACTTGATCTTTAAAATTTATATATTTTGAATTTTGTATCTCTTTTTCATAAAGTCTTCTTAAATGAGGCCACCTAGAATAAATCAAAATAAAAAAATATGTTGTTATTTGTAAAAATATATTATTGGTTGAATCCAGTACAACTGCTCACTGAATGGCTAAGTAGCAATTAAATGTAATTGGTTTATACTTTTAGATTCATCAAATCACATTTAATTGCTACTCACTTGCTAGTCACTCAATATTCATTTCTATCAATATAGATTAAATTTAAGGGTTTATCTTTTTTTTTCAGTTTAAAAAATTAGACTATGAGGTTTTCATTTCTAGTATTTATCCTCTTTTTTGACTTTTAATCTAAGTTTTATGCTTTGAGATCTGGAACTTTTTAAATTTCCATGAGAAAATCCTCAAAAATTATAGAATTTTAGATTTGGTAAATATGAAGTGAGAATTGAATTTGAATCTGCTGATTAATTTGTGATTATAAATATTAATCCGTGTGTTACTTCTGTTAGGACGAGAGGGTCTTCTTTGCGTAAAGAGGAAATAAGTATCTTTAATTATTATATTATGGGATTATATGATACCACTAGCTTAGACTTGCTTTTTTTAGCTGAATTTCTTGCATGATTTATCTTTTCTAATTTTTTTCTCCAACAGAAACAAAAAAATAGGTTTATTAACTTCAATTGATATATGATATATATACAAAATAATCTTATGATTATTTATAATCAACTCCAAAGTGCCTATTCCCGTTTCTAAATATGTGTACGAGTATTCATAGAGTTCAAATCCATGAAATTTGACAACTTTAAACAACTATGCGGATCGGTTATTCTTTCGGAATTATTCTTTTGTGCTAAATAACTTAAACATTAAGCTGAAGGCATCTTAAGCTTCAATCAAATTTTCAAAAAAAAACAGATCTTTACTTGCTTATTAATACCACGACTGTAACAATGGTATATAGAAGGCAATTATAAGAAAAAAAAAAGGTAAATATTTATAATCTTTGTGTTTATTACGGTGATGATAATCACCGTTTTATCGCTGAATTCGCATTCCAGGCAACGTCGGTTATTTTTTAAATCGCGAGAATTTCGCAAGGATGACGAGGTTACCTCTGATAAACCTTCTTCTGCCACAGCATGTTGTCGTTGAGTATATTGAGGAATCGTTTGCATGTAAGACTAAAATTCACGACGTCCTTGAAGCTGATGCTCTGCTGCTGCAGGATGATGTTGATTACTTCGGTAGACAGTAACGTTATCATGATTATCGACAGAAATTCGACATCAAATCGTAGACTGTTATGCGAGTGATCGGATTCACTGTACGATCACACGGAGCTTGTCACCTGTCTATTCGACTTCTTATCCCACACTCATACCACTCACGGAACAGACCACAGATTACTGACCACTAACCGACCTCAAGCTTCAACTAGCTCCGAACTCCCAGATTACCCCAACAAAAAAATTCCCGTCATCTGCACGTTTTTTTTCTTTTGTAATGTCGCTTTTGTCATAGATTTAATTTGAATAGATTTGTACTTATCAGAGTGCAATCCATTTGACATTTCGAAGCACTTTTGATTGGTCAATTAATGAAATCCTTTGTTCTGATTAGTCAATCAAACATTTCGCATCATTTGCAATGAGATTTTGGTCCATATTTTGAATCTTTTATCGATAAAAGTGCCTTTAAAAATAGTTTGTGCAAATGTGATTGGTCAATTTCAATTAGACAATCCGCCGATTAAGGTTAACCGGAGTTGGTGAGACCGGCCCAAAATTCATGCGAAATAATGAAATCTAAGTGATTTTTTAATCATTTTTGCTCATGAGATCTATTTTGATGCTGAAAATGACGTCGGTATAAAAAGACATTATTATAATAATTAAGGCCATTGCACAAAAATTTTAATCGTAATTGCAAGATCATAAGCAAATTGACCAATCAGAATCAATTATACTCCTTACAGTTTAAAAATAATTGATTGTAGTTGGTTAATTCGCTTATGATTATCACTAAAATTTTTTCACGTGCAATGACCTTTAGTCCCGGTATACAATAGGTGATTTAAGCTTTAAGTCAAGAAATTGACCAATCATAGTCGAGTATTCTTCCATTCTTTGACTCTGATTCGTCCATTTCTTATGGCTTAGGTCTTAAATATTGTAGACCGGGACTTAGACTAGCGTTCTTCGATTCGCGTAGTGCGCACATGCGCAGAGACACGCACGCGTAATTTAATGGTGGATACAGCGGATACACGCATAATTCGGGATAGAAATACAAGTGGGCCGATCACATAGCTGCAGAGTCCGTATCGTTTCGGTGTTGATCGCGCGGGTGTACGATCCGGTCCGTCGCCGATTTGATCAACACGAGTAATACGTAACATCGCTACGGAGCGATCGAAGCCGTAATTACGACGTAGTCGCGTAAAACGAGCGTAATAATAAATTCCACGTCGGCGTTGTACCGCGAGTGCTGACATGGGTTCTAACAAACGTCACAAAACCGAGAAGTCTCGCGATGCCAAGAAGAAGCGTCACCGCAGCCGCTCCAGAAGCTACACGCCCGACCGCGAGAAGTCTGACAAGCATAGGCATCATAAAAAGCACAGGAGGAAAGAGCGTAAGGACTATGATAGCGATGGTACGATCCTTTTCTCGTATCTCATTTTACATTATATATATATATATATATATATATATATATATATATATATATATATAATATATAATAAGTAAGTAATA